TATCCTTAACCCTTACTTCATGCATCCGAATGAAAATCATGCGTTAATTCTTGTTTCTCTCTTACTTTCAAACAACAACTATCATTCTTAGTCACGATCAATTACCATGGCACTTTGATCCAAGGCCAAAATTCACTTCATCAATGGTTCTTTACCGCGACCACCTGATGAAGGTCACAATTCCATTGCATGGGATCGTTGCAATACCGTGATCATGTTATGGATCAACAATTCAGTGGAAACCGATATTGCTCAAAGTATTATTTTGATGGAAAGCGCAGTAGACATGTGGCGTGAACTGAAATAGCATTTTTATCAAGGTGATGTTTTTAGAATTTATGATATTTAGAAAGAAGTTTTAACCTCCAAACAAGGTGATTCTTCCATTTGTTCCTATTATACTAAACTCAAGAAGCTTTGGCAAGAATTGAACAATTTTCGTCCAATCGCTACTTGTGATTTTGCAGTCATATGCCAAGCCCTAACCAAGATTCGTACATGTCAGTATAGAGACCAAGTTATCAGGTTTCTCAAAGGCCCGGATGTCCATGAATATATAAGTCTGTAGCATTTAGTTTAACTTGTCTAAACAACATAAATAAAACCTTAATGAAGAGCCCTTAACAAAATAGGTGTAAACAACGAGAGTCATAAACACATATCATCTTCAATATGAAGAAGTTATGTGTGTGGGACTCTCGTTTCTTCTTCAGAAATCCAAATCATTTTCTTTTACTTCTTTTTCGGAGATTTCGTACGTCAAACAACACTACTCATATTGTTGTTGTTCTTGTTGTGTTGTGGAGATTTGAAATCCTAGAGGTTTTCTCTTGTTGTTTTTGTTGTTTAAACATATTTATGTTATAGGTTTATTGATGTTGTTTTTATTGATGTTGTTCTTCTTCTTGAGACCCTAAAATCTAGCGGTTGTTTATTGATGTTATTGTTGTTGATGATGTTGTTGATTTTTTTTATATTGTTGTTTAATATAAGTTGTTGTTTTTTAGTTGAGTTTATTAAATCTATATGTTGTATTTTAGTTTTATTTTTTTGATAAGCAATGATATCATTAAACGGCATACTAGGAGTACACTAAACCGATACAAGAAGAAACCACCAATACAACTACACACCAACTACTACGAAAAGGAACAAAATACAACAAAACTCCTATTTTCAAAAATAAAATGGAGCTTTGTACCACTCATAAAAACTACAAATGGATTTAGTCTTTAAGTTAGCACCCAACCAATACCAAGAGGTATACCTCACTCTCATTGAGATATTTTCATTTTTCCAATACATCATTGAATATAATTTGATTTTGCGCTCACCATATAAACCAACACGTCGCCATCCAAATGATACAAGAGAATGCTTTAGAAGATTTCCTCACCATCTTTACAAACCACTCAAGAAAGTGGTATTGCACATTAGTTTCTTCCAACCATGGTATACCCATCCAACCTGCAATCTTTCACCAAACCAACACAATACTTGGGCACGAATAAAAAATATGGTTTATATCTTCAACTGCATTGAAACAAAAGACACAAACAATTTCGTAGGGATCCGAGATTATGCCCCTGCCCGCCAGCTTATCCCTAGAAGGAAGTCTATCCCAAAACACTCTCCAACAAAAGACATTAGCTTTCAAGAGAACTCTAGTTTTCCAAAGGACTTCCAAGACAGCCTTGAGAATAATCTCCGATTCATATTTTGCAGCATGGTGAGACATAGCACGGTAGCACGGGTTGACCGTGAACACTCTAGAGCAACCATGTTTCCAAATGAAAGTGTCATCAGCCTCCCTAGTAGGCGACACATCTAGCAGCAAAGTCTTTAACTTAAGAAATTCTGCCGAGAATTCTACTGGCAGCCGCAAACAGAGAGACTCAAATGCCCAGTACCACACACCATTAACCCACCAACCCAATTCTGCCACAGCTGCAGATTTAACAGAAGAAGCAGAAAATAAATTTGGAAAAAGAGTGCAAAAAGGAACTGCCAACTATTTAACCAAAAAGCAATGCGTTCTCCGTTGCCTAGGATGCAAGATAATTGATCCAGAAAGCCTCCATGAGAAACGGAATCTCCAATAACCATAAGGTCCTTCCACCAAAGAGACTTATTATTACACCTCCTCGTCTTGATCTTTACACATACTCGTCGATTTTTTTAAAACCGAGAGATAAATAATACATTTTTTATGACGCTCTTCATTAAATCGTATGTGAAATCAAGATAAGACCTTTTTTTCAACCGAAATAAAATGCAATTCTTTTAGTTAATCTATAATTTGCTAGTTTAAAATTTGTGTAGTTATAAAATTTGTGTGAAGATGCAACCTATCAAACCCACTATATTCGTATTCCAGCTTTTGTTATTGGGCACAATCATTCTAGCTACTACTACTACACTAAATTTAAGTAACACCCTTATACAGTAAAGGACAATTTGCATTTTAGATAACGTAGATTATAGAGAAACTCTTAATACTATAAGCTTTTTTTTTCAAGATGTTCATTTGTGACTTTCTATCAAAAAGGAGAAAGAACGGATAGTTGTACTGATGATTGGTGGCAGGATAACAATTTGCACTTAACGAGCAGAATACAATGGAAATCATTGTATTAATTATTCTCTTGTCTTACCCTATTCAGTTAACTTTTTCATTTTTTCTCATGACACTCTTTAGTGTCACCGACAGCAAAAGAAAACTCTCATGACATTCTTGTATTTACAGCCATATATGTAACCAAACCATTTACCAATATTATGTCACATAGTTGAGACAGTGGAAGTTGAATTAATAACTTGGTTGATACTTTGTAATAAATCTCACTTTTAATAATTACATACCATTATTCTCTACAGTATATAAAGTCTGCATGCACCTTTATTTTTCATTCCATCTCAACTTCTTCTCTTCATCATTTCTTTTTTAGAATTTCAGCTTCATTGATCCAATATGAAGTTTTGTTTTTTTCACATTATTACTTTTCTCATGGTGAGTTGCTCACAACTCTTATACTCAACCACTTTCATTTCTTCAAATAGTTGTTATATTCTATGTCTTTATTTTTGCTTGTAAAAAATGAGTACTAGTAATGTTAATATGTTCTCAAATGCATGCAGCTTGTGATACTGGCAACTAATGCTGAAACATTACCACCTCAACTTTACTGGAAGTCCATGCTTCCCAACACTCCAATGCCAAAAGCCATAACTAATCTGCTTCACCCTAGTTAGTACCATACTCTAAAATTGTTTATGTATCAAATTTCTTTTGCACAATTTAATTTTTTTCAACTTATTCTTTCTATGTGAAGGTGGATATTGGAGTGAAGAAAAAGCAACATGGGTGGATGTAGGCAAGGGTGGTGTAGATGTTGGAGTGAGAAAGGGCTATAATGAAGGAACTGGAAGTGGAAGTGATGTGAATGTTGGAGTTGGACATTCTGATTCTCCATTTGATTACCTTTATGCCGCAAGTGAGACTCAATTACATGATAAACCAAATGTAGCACTCTTCTTCTTGGAAAACGACTTGCACCATGGAACAAAATTGAACTTGCAATTCATCGAGACCAATTTGAATAATGAAGCTAAATTCTTGCCTAAACAAGTTGCTAATTCAATACCCTTTTCATCGAACAAGGTGGAATACATACTCAACAAATTAAACATCAAGAAAGGGACAAAGGGTGCTCAGATCGTGAAGAACACAATCAGTGAGTGTGAAGAACATGGTATCAAAGGAGAGGAAAAGAGTTGTGTAACATCATTAGAGTCTATGGTTGATTTCACTGCTACTAAACTTGGGAAAAATGTTGAGGCTGTTTCAACAGAAGTGAAAAAAGAAAGTGGTGAGTTAGAAGAATATGTAATAGCGAAAGGAGTGAAGAGATTGGGAGAGAAGAACAAAGCTGTGGTGTGTCACAAAGAGAATTATCCATATGCAGTTTTCTACTGTCATAAAACAGACACAACTAAAGTCTACTCGGTGCCATTGGAAGGTGTTGATGGAAATAGAGTTAAAGTTGTTGCTGCTTGTCACACAGATACATCACAATGGAATCCTAAACATTTGGCTTTTCAAGTGCTTAAAGTTCAACCTGGAACTGTTTCAATTTGTCACTTCCTTCCACAGGATCATGTTGTTTGGGTTTCCAAGTAGAAACAAACAAATCCCATTGGTGACATTGAAGAATATTTAAGCGGTTTTAACAAAATAAAATGAATTATGAAATTTAGTCTGGTACTTTATAACTACAGCTTTGTTTTACTTCCACTGTTTTAAGTTTGCCATATTTGCTATGTTGTATTGTTATAAGTATGATATTTGTTTTACTTTTAACAGTTTTAGGTATGGTGTATCTGATCTGATGTATTATTACATGTGTGCTAAATATATGATAAAGTGAAGCTTTATCATTTGGGTGAAAATCATCTTAAGAATTTCAGATTGACTAAAAATGTTTTCACTTTATAGTTAAGCTTGTTTTATTTTATGCTAAACAATCTCATCCCAAGATCTCAATATATCCAAAACAACTCGGTGATCAAGAAAAAAAATTAATTTTTTCCTCAATTTTTCCATCAGAATACATTACCAAATAAGAATTTGGAAACTGCTTTAAATGGGAGCTTATTTCATTATATACATTATGGGAAGACTTTTCTCTTTCCAACACATCATTAGAAGCCAATGTTCGAATCAATATACAAAACAAAATTTTGTTAATCTTACCCTATAGATCAAAAATGCTGTAAAGAATGGTGGAGGCTAACTACATTGCATCTGGCTGTACATTGTAACTAATTTCACTCCCTAAACTGCATGCCTCATCATGATAATTGAGTATTCTGGGGTCACTTGATATTTACGCTGCATCATAAGTTTCAAATCTCTGAATCGATATGGCGAATGCACCACCCAACATCAGCAAATATTTTTTTACACTGTCATGAACAAAGATGGTTTTGGTTTGGGTGCTTCAGGATTCAGCCATGGGAGTGTCAGCCTTGAATTTATCAGGTGCAAATGGCTCCAAAGATCCCCATGTTCTTCCAACCTTTAATTTGACATTCAGAGGAACTGCAGACAAATACGTGTAAACAGTGAATATGTGATTTGACCATACAGTCAGAACCTCAATTACTTTTACCGATCTGTATCTTCAACCAAAATGCATAATCTGTTAGAGGAATACAAACCAAGAAGTGATACTGCATTCTCCATGCTGGTCTGCAACAATATTGCAGCTTCTTTCACCACAGAGGGATCAACTTCCAGCACTAATTCATCGTGTACCTAGTTAACATTTACTTAAATGATTAAAACAAAGAAAAACATTTAAAAACTATTAGAGAATACAAATCCTTTAAAACTAACCTGTAACAGAATCCGGCAACGATCTCTAAGCATGTGGAACTTGCTAGCGCCTGAAGAACTTGACTCCGGACTATCAATGCCAGAAACAATTTCAGAGTAAATTTTAATCATTGCAATTTTAATTATGTCGGCAGCAGATCCCTGGGAGAAAGAGAAGGAGACAGCATTATAAATGATTTCTGATATCTCTGAAGGAAACACTAAAATGAACACTGATATCTTTAAAGGAAACATATCCCGATTTAGGAGAGGAAAAAAATGTAGTACACCTGACAAATGGAATTGACAGCTTGCCTCTGGGCTCTTGATTTTTCTGTACTGCTGCCAAATTTTATTTTTGACAAAAATCGTTTCCTTCCCTTGAGAGTCTCCACATATCTGGATTAAAGTTTTCTACATTATTAGATATAGAGATCCCAATTTAAGTAAAGAATAGGTGCCATTTACAATAGGGACAAATATTTTAATACCAGTTAAAGCAATCGGTTTGTCAAAGAAAAAGATAAATCAGCAATATAATCATTCAAACTAAAGAGTATCCGATGCCTAGATAATTGTCATCATAGTATCCTGATGAAGGAATGAGTTAGGATGTGCAAAAGTGGCACAAAGTCTCCTCACCCTTTACTACGACAAAATGCAACAGCTTCGTGAAGCCAAGAAGCAACACCAGGAAAAGTGCTTTTGAAGTTACTAATCCTTTCAGCAGCTTCATCCGAAGTGCAATCCATTTGTTCTGCAAGGCTATTTGGACCCATACCATAAAGAATTCCATATACCATCTTTTTGGTCTGCTCTCTCTGCTGAGAACCCACGGAAACCTCAGGACACCTAATCCATCTTGCTGCTATCAATGTGAAGACGTCTCCATCAGGCTTACTCAGAAGCTCTATAAGTGAAGAGTCCTTAGAGAAATGGGCCATCAACCTCAATTCTATCTGAGAATAATCTGCTGTTAACAGTAACCAATTATCCTGCAGTGAAAAGAGATATATAAGAATAGAACACAAGTAACCAAATATAAAGCACAAAAGCGGAAGAGAAAAAAAGATATAAGAGGATCTGAATGACAGGTTGAAGAATTTAGAAAAGGCTTATATTAGGAGGCGTAATTAGAATCCGGTGATATTTAGTTAGAATGTGTGACTGCTGTCATGTTGTTAGTTTGTAATAGGAAAGAGAAATCATATTTAAAATTATGGTTGAGCCTAACTCAGCCTTATAAAACTGGGTCTTAAGGTGAGGATTGCCTAAGTTTTATAAATACTACACGGGTCATATCTTTAGGCAGTATGGGACTAACACCCCTTCATACTCAACACAATGAAGGTGTTGAAGGCTGCAGTGAAGGTAACTCATATGCCGCAATTAGGTGGCTTGGGACAGACTGCAATGAAGGCGGAATTTCCAAAGAAAAATAAAACTTCAAGTTATTATCGTGTTAGACTCTCATAAAGGATTTAAGAAAATCTGACTATTCAGTTTAATGGCAGCTATTATATTATTAGTAGTAGTTTAATGGCAGCTATTATATTATTAGTAGTAGTTGGGTGGCAGCTATTATATTATTAGGAGTAGTTATGTTTATTAATTATGTGGGTTATGTTTAGAATAAATAGGGGAAGATAGGGAAGAGTCTGTTTATCATGGATTTTGACAGGGAAAACAGGTCAATTTTGGCATTGGGGAGGTGCACACCCTCGAAGTTTGGTTATTTATTTTATAATTCAAAGAGATTTTCTCTATTTTCTTTTATATATCAATTGGTTTCTATCATATTAATGGTTTTGACTAAGCACTAAGGCACTTCTTTATACTAATACAATGTGCCAATCAGAATTAAATAAGGAAATAAATCATGATTAAGAGCAACCAACAAATAATTAAAATAACCAGAGTTAAGGGCCTATGCACCTGGGTAGGAACAAAGAAGTCACGGGCATTGATTCTACAACTCTCATCAACATCACCTCCATTTTTGTCTCCTATCATCTTAAAATCAACCGGATGCTCAACACACTGCATTACCAAACAAGATTGTACATCCCATCAAATGTAGCAGTTAGCTGAGAGAAGAAATAAACAAAATTAAAACCTGTGATAAGAGAACCCAAACCTGAAGATTAGGTTCCTCCATTGAAAGCCGTCCAGTTGCTGTGGATGTTTGGAGCCAATGACCGTGTAATGTGTACTTCTGTGTGCTTGAAGATAGCCTAGCCAGAGAACAAATTGATCCTAGTGTAGAGTTCAGGAGCTTTGCCAATGTACGGTGCTCTTTGATGATTGGAACAATGGGATGTTCATGCCTGTAATAAATGTTAATTAGGAAATAATCTTTGCAGTTATTGTGAATAGTTTACATTCATAGAATAGGAAATTAGTCATTATGAATTGTAATTAGTTATTATTAGCTGTAATTAGTTATTATGAGTTGTAATTACCGACACTATTATATATAGTATGAAAGGCAATGAGAAAGGCATCAAGCCAAATTTCATGACATGGTATCAGTAGGTTCGATCAAACCTGGAAAATATTATATTGGCTGATCAGCGATACCCCACTGGTTCGCTCTCGTAATCGTGTTCGTTTCGAAATTCTTTCGTTTGAAATCGAAACCTTGCAGCTGTCTGAGATTCTAAATCTTTGGTTGCCGGTTCGTGATTTCGTCTTGGAGATTCTCGTTGTTGCACTGATATTGCAATCAATTTTTTTTTGGTTCTTGGCTGTTGTTGCTTTGTGATTCTGGATCGTCATAATCTTCTGTTTTGCCGCTCCTTCCAAATCGTGGATTTGATCGTGCTGTTGTTCGTTGGTTCGTGGGTATTGTTTCTTGTTGCTGCTCTAGTAATTGTGATTACAGTTACTGTTATTATATTATAGTTATTATTATTATTATTATTATAATTATTATTATTATAATAATAATAAAATAATATTAGTGAGATTGTATCTGGTGGTTTAATAATTTAGATGGCTTCCGAAAAAGAAAGAGATAATTTTTGTGTTCGTTTTACCGGCAAGAATTATTCGGCATGGGAATTTCAGTTCAAGATGTATGTTAAAGGAAAGGGATTATGGAGTCACTTAGATGATGTTTCTAAGGCACCAACGGAGAAAACTGCTTTAGATGCGTGGGAAACTAAAGATGCTCAAATTATCACTTGGATTCTAAACAGTATTGATCCTCAGATGATAAATAATTTGCGTTCTTTTTCAACTGCTCAAGAAATGTGGAATTATCTGAAGCGCATTTACAACCAGGACAATTCGGCAAAACGTTTTCAGTTGGAGTTAGACATCGCCAACTACAAACAAGGTGATTTGTCTATTCAAGAATACTATTCTGGTTTTTTGAATCTTTGGGCAGAACACTCTGCTATTATACATGCTAATGTTCCCAAGACCTCTCTTGCGGCTGTTCAAGAGGTCTACAACACAAGTAGGCGAGATCAATTCCTCATGAAGCTTCGTCTAGAATTTGAGGTTGTCAGAGGTGCTTTGCTAAATAGGAATCCTGATCCTTCTTTGGATACATGTGTTGGTGAACTTCTCAGGGAGGAACAACGTCTCCTTACTCAAGGAACCATGTCTCATGATACTGTCAGTTCTGAGCCTGTGGCAATTGCATATGCTGCTCAAACTAGAAATAAAGGTCGTGATATGCAACATGTCCAATGTTTTTCTTGCAAACAGTTTGGACATATTGCTCGTAGCTGCAGTAAGAAGTTTTGTAATTATTGCAAACAACAAGGTCATATCATTTCTGACTGTCCCACGCGTCCTCCACGACCAGCACATCATTCGGTGAAGGCATTTCATGCCACTACAGGCCATACAATTGGCTCTTCCACCACTGGTGCATCAGATGACAATGCTCTACAACCTGAAATGATTCAACACATGGTACTTTCTGCCCTTTCAGCCTTGGGTATTAAGGGTAAGTCTTCTCATGTTTCTCGTCCATGGTTTATTGATTCTGGTGCATCTAATCACATGACAGGTTCATCTGAAAACTTGCACAATTTACATTCTTATCATGGTAATCAGAAAATTCAGATTGCTAATGGTAATACCTTGTCTATCACTAACGTTGGGGACATAAACTCGGATTTTCAGAATGTGTTTGTCTCACCTGGACTTGCTTCTAATTTATTGTCTGTTGGTCAATTGGTGGACAATAATTGTAATGTTAATTTTTCTCGGTCTGGTTGTCTTGTGCAGGAGCATGTGTCGGGGAAAGTGATCGCGAAGGGGCCTAAAGTGGAAAGATTGTTTCCAATACAGTTTATTTCTAATCATTTGTCTCTTGCTTGTCATAATGTTTTGAATTCCTATGAGGATTGGCATAGAAAACTAGGTCATCCAAACTCTTCTGTTTTGTCTCATTTATGTAAAAGTGGCTTGTTGGGAAATAAAAATGTTATTCCTGATGCCTCTGTTTCATGTTCTGTTTGCAAATTGGCTAAAAGTAAAACACTTCCTTTTCCGTCTGGTGCTAATCGTGCTTCCACTAGTTTTGAGATGATTCATAGTGATGTATGGGGAATGTCTCCTGTGGTTTCTCATGCTCACTATAAATATTTTGTCACATTTATTGATGATTATAGTCGTTTTACTTGGATATATTTTCTCCGTTCTAAATCCGAAGTGTTTTCTATGTTTAAGAAATATTTGACATATGTTGAAACTCAATTTCAAGCAAGTGTTAAAATTTTTCGATCTGACTCTGGTGGTGAGTACATGTCTCATGAGTTTCAGGAATACCTTCAACAAAAAGGCATCTTGTCTCAACGGTCTTGTCCCAATACCCCTCAACAAAATTGCACGGCAGAACGTAAGAATCGTCATTTGCTTGATGTAACACGCGCCTTACTTCTCCAAGCTTCTGTACCATCCCGATTTTGGGTGGAGGCTCTTTCCACGGCTGTCTTCTTGATCAATCGTATTCCTTCTACAGTTATTGATCTTGATTCTCCTTTCTTCCGTCTATTTAAAATTCATCCTGATTATAGTGCTTTACATACTTTTGGGTGTGTGTGTTTTGTTCACTTACCTCCTTTTGAAAGGCATAAGCTTGGAGCACAATCCGTTCAATGTGCATTTATGGGATATAGTAACTCTCATAAGGGATTTGTGTGTTATGATGTCTCTAACCATCGTTTTCGCATTTCTAGAAATGTGACATTTTTTGATAATCAGTTTATGTTTCCCTATGGTTCTCCTGCCATTAATGATATTGTTACTCTTCCTAAGTTTTCTATTATGCCTCAAGCTATAGAACGTTATAAACCAGGTCATGTATATGTCAGAAAACACAGACAACAGGTTCCCACACCCCTTCCCGATGCTGAACTGCCACCTGATCCTGTACCGGTTGAACCACGACGTTCTGGTCGAATATCCCGCGCACCAGATAGATATTCACCAGACAGGTATGATTCCTCACATACTTCTCTGACTGCCACACTCTCTAGCATATCTATTCCTACTTGTTACTCACAGGCTGTTAAAGATGTGCGATGGATAAAAGCAATGACTGAAGAGCTCCAAGCTCTTCAAAAGAATTTCACATGGGATATCGTCACTTGTCCTCCAAATGTAAAACCTATAGGTTGCAAATGGGTGTATTCTGTGAAACTGAATTCTGATGGGTCCCTCAACCGTTACAAGGCTCGTTTGGTTGCGTTAGGAAACAAGCAGGAATATGGAATTGATTATGATGAGACATTTGCACCGGTTGCCAAAATGACAACTGTCCGCACAATCATGTCTATAGCTGCTTCTAATGGGTGGACTCTTCATCAAATGGATGTGAAGAATGCTTTTCTTCATGGTGACCTGACAGAAGATATTTATATGACTCCACCTCAAGGCTTATTCTCTTCATCTAAAGGCGTGTGTAAGCTCAAACGCTCCTTATATGGTTTGAAACAGGCACCTCGAGCATGGTACGAGAAATTCCGCTCCACTATACTTGGATTCTCCTTTACTCAGAGTCAGTATGATTCATCTTTATTTATTCATAGCACATCTGCGGGTATTGTTCTGCTTCTTTTGTATGTTGATGATATGGTTATTACTGGTTCGGATCATGCTTCCATTCAGCGACTTAAGCGACAGTTACAGGCCTCATTCCATATGAAAGATCTGGGTAATCTACATTATTTTCTTGGTCTTGAGGTTCATTCTACATCCAAGGGCATCTTTCTCCATCAACACAAGTATGCTACGGATTTGATTTTTATGGCCGGTCTTGAATCGGCTAATCCAGTAGATACTCCTCTTGAGGTTAATGTTAAATATCATCGTGATGATGGGGATCTGTTGCTTGATCCCTTATTGTATCGACAACTTGTGGGTAGCCTCAACTACTTGACTATTACTCGCCCTGACATATCTTTTGCTGTTCAACAAGTAAGTCAATTCATGCATTCTCCTCGCCATCTTCACTTGGCTGCAGTTCGTCGTATAATTCGCTACTTAAAAGGAACGTCTCACCGCGGATTATTCTTTTCCGTTGGAACTTCTCTTCAGTTGAGCGCTTATAGTGATGCTGATTGGGCAGGGTGTCCTGATACTCGTCGATCTGTTACTGGTTGGTGTATATTTCTTGGTTCTTCATTGATCTCTTGGAAAAGTAAGAAGCAAGCAAGAGTTTCTAAATCTTCTACTGAATCAGAGTATCGTGCCATGTCTGCTGCGTGTTCAGAAATACTTTGGCTTCGTGGTCTTTTGGCTGAACTTGGATTTCCCCAAACAGAGTCAACTTCACTTTATGCTGACAATACAAGTGCCATCCAAATTGTTGCAAATCCTGTTTTTCATGAACGCACCAAACATATCGAAGTTGATTGTCATTCAATACGTGACGCCTACGATGATCGAATAATATCACTTCCTCACGTCAGTACGCAGTTGCAGGTTGCAGATATCCTTACCAAGGCTGTTCCACGCCCAAGACATCAGTTTCTTGTTAGCAAATTGATGCTCCTTGACCAGCCGCATCAATTTGAGGGGGGATGTTAATTAGGAAATAATCTTTGCAGTTATTGTGAATAGTTTACATTCATAGAATAGGAAATTAGTCATTATGAATTGTAATTAGTTATTATTAGCTGTAATTAGTTATTATGAGTTGTAATTACCGACATTATTATATATAGTATGAAAGGCAATGAGAAAGGCATCAAGCCAAATTTCATGACAATAAACACTTATTAAAAAAACTGCATTCAATCAAACAAGTACTTACTGAGGTGCATAGAGAACTTAAGGACAAGTGATGTTAAAAGAAGCACAGTTTTCCCTCCACACACCCTTTTGTAGAGTGGAAAAATCATAGACAAGGACAATCTTTGTTCAAAATGATATATATATATATATATATATATATATATATATATATATATATATATATATATATATATATATATATATATATATATATATATATATTAGTCCATTAAATGTGATATAACTTTTTTATGTATAACTCTAATCCATTTATGATTCTTAGCTAATGTGTAGTTTTGAACCCTTACTCTTAATTGAGACACTAGAAGATGGAAATATATATGTTGCACTAAAGTTCGGTTATTATAAAGCTAAAATTAATAATAAGGTGATAACAACTAATTGTTGGTGACAAAGTTTAAAGAAAAATAATTTCCAAACCTCAATCATAGTCATTCATCTTTGTAGTGTAGGTTTTATAATGAGATTGGATGATGATGTAATTTACTCTTTTCTAAAATGCATACGAACGAAACATCAAATCATAAAAAATCATTATACAATTCTATTTAGTATGGATCGAAAAGAAACAACAGGGAAAAGGAAACTTTCTCAATACCGTAGTGCATCCAAACAGTGTTTGTCAGTACTTGGATGGTTTTTCCCCTTAATTTTTCCATCAGGAATCGGCAGTTTCAGGTGTTCATACAGCACCTTTGCAATATCTGCTGGCATATTCAATGAAAACGTCATTCCAGCCAGTTTGTAAGCTTCCTTTTCAAGTTGCTTCAGCCTTTTCACCAACAATTTCCGAGCCTGGATGCATCTCTCCAAATCAACACCAATTCCCCAAAGCTCCATGTCAGCAAGAACATTCACCTAACAACATGTGTTAAAACAGCATCAAATACTTCAAATTGATCCTGTTAAGGTTCCACACTGTCCATGTATGAAAGCAATGTGTTGAATATTAGCACAAAATCAAAACAGATTCTGTCATACAGCTCATTATGGCTGGATTCAAATTGTGATTAAATAGAAATTAATTGTATTATTATATTCTTACCTTATTTAGGATTAGCATTTATAGGGAGAATAATTACCCCTATTTCTTAGTGTAATTTATATTCTATAAATACTCATGTACTATGTTACAGAAAAAATATATAGAAAAAGCATATTTCTATATGGTATCAGTAGCAACAAGAATCCTTTAGGGTTTTTTTTTGTTTTTGCTTCCGCTCTGTTTATCTTTTTTACATCCCACAATGTCTGATACCGAGTCCTCACTTTCACCCAAACATTCCTCACCCGAACCTAAATTAGTCCGAACGTACCATGAAAACCACCCTGTTCAGATCACAACAATTCGGCTGAACGGTGCTAATTATCTTCGATGGTCGCAATCCGTTCGTATGTATCTCAGGGGGAGAGGAAAGATTGGCTACATTACTGGCGACAAAAAACAACCAGACAAGGCAGGTGCAGATTATGATACATGGGATGCTGAAAACTCCATGGTCATGACATGGTTAGTCAACTCCATGGATGAAGAGATAGGTGCAAATTATCTCTGTTATGATACTGCAAAAGAACTTTGGGAAGGTGTCTCCCAAATGTACTCTGATTTGGAAAATCAATCCCAAATCTACGAATTAACTCTCAAATTGGGAGAAATTCGGCAAGGTGAAGATTCAGTCACCAAATACTTCAATTGTCTCAAACGTATTTGGCAAGATTTGGACCTTTTCAATGAGTATGAGTGGAAATCACCTGCCGATAGCAAACATTACAAGAAGATGGTGGATGTTAGTCGTGTTTTCGAGTTCCTTGCGGGTCTAAATGTTGATTTTGATGAGGTTCGTGGCCGAATTCTAGGCAGAAATCCTATCCCTCCAATTGGTGAAGTCTTTTCAGAAGTACGTCGCGAAGAGAGTCGTCGGCAAGTGATGCTTGGAAAAAATACAGCAGCTGTCCCTCCACCAGTTGAAGGATCTGCCTTGGCAATTCCCCATGTCAATCGTAAACCACTTCATAATCAACGAGGTGGAGACAAGACTCATTTATTTTGCGATTACTGTGGGCGCAATCGCCACACTCGGGAAACTTGCTACAAACTACATGGGCGACCAAATCATGGCAAGGCTGGTAAGTTTGGTGATCGTCCTATGCCTATGGCCAATGAGGCTGATTCGTCTCCATGTACGAAGGAGCAAATGGATAACCTTCTTAAGTTTCTAAAGTCCAATTCATCTCTTAATATCCCTACTGGAACTGTGGCACAAACAGGTAAGGATTCTTGGGCACTATCTGCTCACAACCACTCTAACCCTTGGATAATAGATTCAGGGGCATCTGAACACATGACTAATTGCTCTCATCTATTCAGTACCTATTTTCCTAGTTCAGGTTTTGAAAAAGTTAGGATAGCTGATGGTAGTTATTCAAGTATTGCAGGCAAAGGCAGCATAAAAATTTCAGAGCAAATCACTTTGCAATCTGTTTTACATGTTCCTAAATTCGCTTGTAATCTTCTATCTGTTCATAAATTGTCTAAGGACACTAATTGTTCTGTTCTTTTTCGTCCCTCTACTTGTGTTTTTCAGGACCAGAACTCGGGGAAGACGATTGGAACTGCTAGAGAGATGAATGGATTGTACTACCTTGATGGAATTCAGTTTGGCAATAAAGCGTTTTTCGGTTCAAACAGTACAAACGCATCTCCTGTTTCAGATCAAATTATGTTATGGCATAAAAGATTAGGTCACCCTAGTTTTTCATATCTTAAGCATTTGTTTCCTATTTTTTCCAAAGAAATAAATTCCTCACAATTTCATTGTGAAGCTTGTCACTTAGCTAAAGATCATCGTGTGTCTTTTAAATCAAAAGCCTATTCTGCTTCTAAACCTTTTTATTTAATTCACAGTGATGTTTGGGGTCCTTCAAAAATTAAAACTATGTCTGGAAAAAAATGGTTTGTAACATTTATTGATGATCATACACGGCTGTGTTGGGTTTATCTCATGGAGAAAAAATCAGAAGTTGAACAAAGATTTCAAGATTTTTTTAACATGATTAACAATCAATTTCAAACTAAGATTGGCATTCTAAGGTCTGACAATGGCACTGAATATTTCAACAAATATTTAAGTACATTCCTTGTAACTAAGGGGATAATTCATCAATCCACTTGTCGCGATACTCCGCAGCAAAATGGTATTGCTGAAAGAAAAAATAGACATCTCCTCGAAGTCACTAGAGCTATTATGTTTTCTATGAATGTACCTAAGTATCTTTGGGGAAATGCTTTATTAACTGCTTGTCACCTCATCAATCGAATGCCATCTCGGGTGTTACAATATGAAAGTCCTGTACAAGTGTTACAAAACAATTTTCCTACATCTCGTATTATTACGGATCTTCCCCTTAAAATTTTTGGTTGTCTTTGTTATGTTTACATCCCCAATGTTTTTCGTTCTAAGTTGGATCCTAAAGCCGAAAAATGTGTTTTTCTTGGCTATGCTTCCAATAAAAAGGGATACAAATGTTTTAACCCAGTTACAAAGAAATTTTTTGAAAGCATGGATGTTCACTTTGTTGAAAATCAACCTTTTTTTAAAAATTCTCTTCAGGGGGAGAGTCAATGTAATAATAAAGAAGATAATTTTTGGGAAACTTTGCCTGCTCTAGATGATATTGTGACTACAAATCACCCAAATGCTAAGATAATAGAATCTGAAACAGGGGGAGAAACACTGATTAAGGATGATAATCCTGAACTTAAAGTGTATGTTCGAAAAAAATTCCACAAAGGTGGTGCAAACCCTATTGTCTCTCCAGTAGAAATCCAATCTGATTTACCAAGTGAAGGTCCTACAGATAATCTGTCTTCTAGTTCTTCATCTGGTAATCCTTCTTACTCATCCAATGATTTATCTGATTTGTCTTTTCCTGATATTAATCTTCCAATTTCTGTGAGAAAAAATATTCCTGACCTCGATGTCCCAATTGCTGAGAGGAAAGGTTCTCGTATGTGCACTAAACATCCTATGTCTAATTACTTGTCATATGACAAACTATCACACACCCATAAGGCATATGTGTCTAGGATTTCTAATTTGTTTGTGCCCAGAACTATTCAGGAAGCATTAAGTGATCCGAATTGGAAATTAGCAGTGAAAGAAGAGATGGATGCTCTAAACAAAAATAACACTTGGAGTATCACTGATCTACCACAAGATAAAAAGGCAGTAGGGTGTAAGTGGGTCTTTACAGTGAAATGCAAGGCTGATGGAAGTGTGGAAAGATACAAAGCGAGATTAGTAGCAAAAGGATTTACTCAAACTCATGGTATTGATTACCAAGAGACTTTTGCCCCAGTTGCTAAGATCAATTCTATCAGAATTCTTCTTTCTCTTGCAGTAAATTTCAACTGGACACTATATCAATATGATGTTAAAAATGCCTTCTTGAATGGTGAATTACATGAAGAAGTATATATGAGTTTACCTCCTGGATTTGAAAAAAATCTTGGAAGAAACAAAGTATGCAGATTGAGAAAATCCCTATATGGATTGAAACAATCGCCAAGGGCCTGGTTTGAGAGATTTGGAAGTGTTGTTAAGAGACACGGTTTCACCCAAAGTCAAGCAGATCACACTATGTTCTTTAAACACTCATCTGAAGGTAAGATTGCTATCTTAATAGTGTATGTTGATGACATTATTATTACAGGAGATGACGTCAAAGCAATTAGTGATCTGAAGAGAAGACTTGAGGCTGAGTTCGATATCAAGGATCTTGGAAAGTTAAAATACTTTCTTGGGATGGAGTTCGCAAGATCTAAAGAAGGTATTTTTCTCAACCAGCGCAAGTACATACTCGATTTACTTGCAGAAACAGGGATGACAGGGTCTAAAGCAGTAGAAACACCAATGGATCCCAATGTGAAACTAAAGTCAGTTGCTGAAGATGAAATAGTAGATAAAGAACGTTATCAACGATTGGCTGGAAGACTAATTTATTTGTCACATACAAGGCCAGATATAGCCTTTGCAGTGAGTGTAATAAGCCAATTTATGCATGCACCAGGTGCAGCGCACTTTGAAGCTATTTTCAGAATATTAAGATATTTGAAAGGTACTCCGGGAAAGGGGCTGATATTCAGAAATAGAGGACATATACAGGTTGAAGCCTATACAGATGCTGATTGGGCAGGTAATATAAATGATAGAAGGTCTACCTCAGGATATTGTACTTTTGTAGGTGGAAATCTAGTTACATGGAGGAGCAAAAAACAAAATGTTGTAGCCAGGAGCAGTGCAGAAGCTGAATTCCGATCTGTGGCCCATGGTTTTTGTGAAGTATTATGGATAAAAAAGTTCATGGAAGAATTGAAGTTCTTTGGCCCAACTCCAATTAAAGTTTACTGCGATAATAAGGCTGCTATTTCTATTGCCCATAATCCTGTCTTACATGACAGGACGAAGCATGTTGAAGTGGACAAGCATTTCATCAAAGAAAAAATTGACAGCGGTGAGATTTGTATGTCCTACATACCTACCAAAAGTCAAGTAGCAGATGTTCTCACAAAGAGTCTTCCAAAGAGACTGTTTGATAACATGGTGTGCAAGCTTGCTATGAACGATATATTCATGCCAGCTTGAGGGGGAGTGTTGAATATTAGCACAAAATCAAAACAGATTCTGTCATACAGCTCATTATGGCTGGATTCAAATTGTGATTAAATAGAAATTAATTGTATTATTATATTCTTACCTTATTTAGGATTAGCATTTATAGGGAGAATAATTACCCCTATTTCTTAGTGTAATTTATATTCTATAAATACTCATGTACTATGTTACAGAAAAAATATATAGAAAAAGCATATTTCTATACAATGTATACCTTACAATATACCCATTTGAGCTAGATTTAGGTGTTGAATTGGGCCCAATCTACTCTCAATTGTAATATAACCATTAAAATTGATTGAACATAAAATCATAATAGTAAACGATAAATTAACTTGGTATAGTTAATGATATTCCCGATCATATCGTGTTAAGACTCTAACATCAGATGACATATGACATGAACATATGTTTATAAGTACAGGCAATCCTCACCTAACAAGCCGGTTTGTAAGGTTGAATTAAGCCCAACCCAAATTCTAAGATGGTATCAAAACCTATTCAGATCCGCTGTAAGGTTGAGTTAAGCCCAACCCAAGTTCTTATTGCCAATTGTGACGGTATCAAGAACATATTAAAGAGAGAAATAATATAAGAACAACAAAAGATAAAAGAGTCTTTCAAAATATAACATTGGATCGTGCCAACCAAATTTTTAACAAATCCTTAACTGTGTTAAGCTATATATAAATAAATGTCTCGAAATTAAAATAAAATGCAGTCTCCACATAGAAGCCAATTTCACCCATTAGTCACATTATTCAGGTTTAATTACATTTGCTTCATTTGACTTTTTTACTTTAAGTTTTCATGCAACGTTAACACAATATGAGGCATTTTTATTGAAGTTTTGCACTTATTGCAGGAATTATAAACCTTAAATAAAAAATTCACACAAAAAGATCAAGTTGCGTAAAATGAATTTTTAAGATGTCTCCAGCATCGGGTCCTAAGTGAATCAAAAAATTGTTCAATGCTATTTTTCTTTCTCTAGATAAATATTCGATATTAGAATTTATAATTTATTTTGGCATGTAATGACTGGTATAAAATATTAAGAGCAAAAGAAGATTGAAAATAACACCAAACATGACATCGCTTTTCTTTAAATGTACTGAAGTTTCATAGATTCATACCAGTGGGACTTCTATTTCCATAAGCACTTCTACAAGTTTCTCAGAAACAAGCAATTTCCAAAGAACAGAACATAATGCTCGTGTTTGAGCAACCCGACGGCAGCAACCATTATGAGCAGCTTTTCGCATCTGATTCCTCCACCTGCCACACTGATTAGCTGCTCCTGCATCCTCAGGGGATAACCTTTTCTTTACCTCCTAAATTACCAAATGTGATTTGTTAATACTAGTACACTCAACTATCAAGTCACCACAAATTGAGAACAAAGATGTGCATCTGTGTACACCAATGTATGCAGTACAAGATGACTATTTAGGTTACCTTATCCAGGTTTGGACTAGAGCTACTCGCTTCATCAGGCCAAAGAATCCAAGCAACAATGCATACGTCAATTGCCTCTTTAACATGGATTGGGGGCAACAATATGTAAGAATTGTCTACAACTTCAAGGTCCATATTTTTATCAAGTAAGTCAACAGAACCAAACCTCTGAACTGAAATTGATGGCTTTTTTAGCACCTGAATCTGAACTTTCAAATTCCAGGTGAACTTTTTCACATTTTTTTTCCCTATTATTCTGCTAATCCTGCTCCATCTAATCATGGCATTCATCAAATCTTGCTTAGAATTAGATGATGAACCTTTCTGCTTATAACTGCATGCGCTCAAGGAAAAACCATCCTCTTTTCTATTGCCAGACAACAGAATATCCCTAGGAAGATTAATATAGTACATGGGAGAGTTTTCCCAGCAGATGGCAATCCCATGTACTTCAAAAGGGGCAGCAGAGTGCAATTCCAACCGTTTGATGTAATGGATATCAAAGTAAAACGCTGGTACTGTATCCCATAGATCCAAGAATGAATCAAGTCCACCAGGACTACTAACTGCATTGATGGGCCCTTTTCGGCTGGAATTAGTCATGTTACCACTAGCCAAATTCTCCTTATGATCTTGCTCCCCTGTACCATGAGCATGGCATCCATCATGTATACTGGACTTATCATTTTGTTTCTGTAACGGGCCAGAGAGGGTGGTAACATCAGGAATTTTGGCAGCACCAAGAGTCATACTGAGCTCATTTGTTGTAGGTACTACAACTGGAACAGTAGACAAACTACATGGCATCACTCTGTCTGATTTTTCTTCTACAGAAGCCCGGGCATCATTGTCAGATGATTTATTCAAGTCCTTTTCTTTTTCTAAAGCAACTATCTTAGAATTATCCATATGATTTGCATCAACAAAGCTATGACTAGTGTCAGCTGTGTCACTTCCAGAGGAACTTCCAACTTCTTTTCTGATAGAATTGCGTGCAGGGGTGGGCATGGGTGGAGCTAACTGCGGGACATCGTATCCGAGTGACTTAAAGGCTGAGAAAGCAGCAATCCTTGCTTCTTCAGCTTTATCCAGAACAATCTTGCGAGCACCATTCTTTATCTTCTTAGCTACACCAAGTTGTAAGCTCCTTTGTGCAGAACCTTCAAAAGAAGTGGAATCAACTTTCAATGATAAATAAAAATAACATCAAAAGCAGCTTCACATACTTTAAATTGAAAAAATTGGCATAACGAATTTAGTTGGTGAAATAGAGTTAAAAACAAAGCACAAGAATGCACATGGACAAACTAGAAATATAATGCATTGCTAATCACATTTCACTTGAAAGCATCCTCAAGAAAACAGTAGCAAAAAAAGTAGCTTAAAGAATATGTTAATCCAATATTTTATCTGTTTAACATATATAGTTTCAAGGAATAAAACATGAACAAAATAATCTCAACCATTATTGCTACCTAAAAATGTAATTACAGACAATTCTTACACATTACCTTCTGTGGCCCATGATGAAGATTCAAAAAGTGCTTTTACTATTTCAGGAATGGATGCTTCGGCAATTGCAAGAGGCGTGCGTAAACCTGCTTTATAGAGTGCTCTTGCTCGAGAGCCCTGCAAATTGAATGGAAAAGACGGGGAAAAGGTGAGTACTTCAACAATAAACCATAAGTTATTTGAAGGAGTGTAAAACAGACATAGAACTTAAGCTACTTACTTTAACATAGGGAATGGTGGTAAGCTCAACAACTTCTGCTCTAACTCCAAATGATACACGATTTTGAAACTTGGCAACTAAGCCTTCAAGATCATGCCAGCCCAACCTCTCACAGAACACAGCAACCATAGATGCAAACCGACCAGCATTTTCTTGCAAACCTTGAACCATTCCTCTGGCAACTTTAAATGACTCACAAACCTCACCCACAGGAGTTTCCTTCATTAAAGTATATTTATTCATATAATGATATAAGCTTTCATAAAATTTTAAAGATAAGATGGAAAAGAGAAAGAAAAAAAGACAGATAGGGAAGGAGCAGAAAAGCATAATTTACTAATAAAACTCTTAATACTTACAAAACATTGAGCTTAAGGGCCTAATTACATTTTATGCTAATAACGTAGGCTACTTAAAAATACAATTGTGCAAGTGTTGTACAATATACCAACTGTATAGCACTTACAAATGTATTCTCAACAAAAGAGGCCCTAATGTTTTAACCCTCCGTCTCAAACTGAATTAAGCTTAAGCTCTAAGCTAGTTCAAGATTATTGATTACCAATTACTATAGATAGTTATGCATTAGAAATCTTGTTACATCAGTAATTCTTCAAGTACAGCTGGACACAATTAATCGTCTACTATACAGTCACTGTTACTGGTGTATCTTTGTGGTTCTAGCCTCACGTTACTACTCTTCCTCCTCATGTTGTAAACCCTATGATACCTAGGAATGATAAAGACGGGGAGCATCGGTGCAAAATGACATGGCACAGACAAGGAATGTCTTTTGGCAAGGTTCTAGGCCAAGGGACACGCTAATGAACCAAACTCGCAAAGGAATGGGAAGGATCCTGAAACTATTGATATGGGACTTTATGATTAAAGGAATACTTAAAATAATTTGTTAGTGTTACTACGGTTGGATCGACAAAAAATCATATCATATCTGAAGTTATTAATAGTATAATAATATTATTCAAGTGTTGTATGAGAGTAAATTGATATATCTCCATATATAGGATATGTAACAACAAATAATATGAAAATATAAATTCATTATCAAATAATACAAAATATAAATTCATTAGTTTCACGTTCTTAGTTTTCGAAGAAAGAGTCATTGCCTCCTAAATTGGTGTGAAATAAATAATTGTTTTCAGGGTGTTAATTTAATTCTCTTCATATGGTTTCTTCCTGAAACTTTCCGTGGTTAGATGAGCAAAGAGATTGGAAAGCTTGATTAGTACATTCTTCCCTATTTGTGGTTGTTGTCCTAGGCTATGAGTTTTAACCAAGAAGCATTCCTTATCATTCTTCTGTTTTCTTTTTCTAATAATATTCTTTTCTTTAAAATAATATTCATTAACAAAAATAAGCAGAGATATTTGAGTCCATATACTAGAGAAAAGCACCTGTACTAAAAGAGATAAAATGAGAGCAACATAGAATCTTCTACAGACACGAAGTGTTTGGTCTTCCGAGTTGACAGTTCCACTTGAGATCCCAGGTTGACCTTTCCGTTTATTGTTCGACCATCTTGACTTGTTTGAACCCATCGGTGCACCATGTGCCATACGCATCAAGAATGGTTCTGTCACGCCTATTCGATTGCCAACTGACTACAAAACATATTATAATTACAAATACAATCAACAATATTTACAAATATGTCAAGATTACATTGCTATTTCAAATCTACAAAAATGAAAGACTCAAAAATCGATATCTATAGAGGTGGAATGACGATTCAAATTAAACGCTTCTTAAGTACAGGTAAACATTATTACAAGAATCATACTGATGTATACATCTTTCTGTAGAAAAATTTGGTTTCTTAGAAATTTATTTCTTCCTAAATAATAATGATATACTATGTAACAACATAAGAAGGTCTAATAGCAAGCATGTGGTGAACTCTAAGAAGGTTTAATAATATTATTGACTGAAAAACAAGAATGCGCAAATTTATTTTAACACAAACTCACCTGATCAAGAGGAGACAATTTCATAAAACGCTCATAGTACCATTCCCAATCTGGCTCAACATCAACATTGATTGGCGTCACCAAGTAAACCAAATGCAAGTCAGATGCAAGGACAAATCCTTCCCTTGCCCTTGAAAGATCAGCCAACACAATCTAAAAAGTCAATCACAAGATGGGTTTAATGCCAATCACAACATGATCATACTACCTAATATTGCAGGAAATGCCAGGGTCAAAATAAACCCAAAGCTAGTTAGAAAGAACAGTAGCAATGAATTAAAGTATAGACAGAAACATTTACAAGTGATTCTTCCGGACAGAGAGAACTGCCAAAAGATGCACGTCCAAGAGGTGTGGTACTGTAGAGTTTAGTGTCTTCATTCCATTCGAGAAATTTTCTTTGACACAACCATTTTAGGGATTCTTGAGCTGATTTTACCACCTCCAGAAATGGTTTCGTGGAGTTCAAAAGAGTACATCTAACATACCGGTGAATGTCATTAGCGGTTTGAACTATTCCTCCAGCAACCACTTCTAAAATTGCATGAGTCATTCCATTTAAATCTTCAGATAAACAAGAATGTAACGGTGGACAGCTTTCATTCAGAAGTCCCATAATTCTCTTTAACTCATCAGGTTTGCAGATGAGTACCTATGCAAATCAAAGCCACATAGATATGCCCAAATAAATTATGATAGCAATGTAAAAAGGTAAAATGAAAGCGAAAGAGAAAGAAGAAGCAAAAGGAAAAGAAAGAAAGATACGGTATGTACAACTAGGGGACAATGGGAAAAAAATACAAAAAAACAGTAGTATACAATAAACAAAAACATAGAAACTCTCAACAATTTATCAACATGACAGCCTAGAAAAACCACACATACACTACCGTATAATAGTTAAAGATATAACAGAAGAAGTCATACACTTTCTCCTTTTGTATCAATTCCAGTTCGACCAGCACGACCAGCCATCTGCATGTACCTCGTCCCATCAATAAAATCACAACCAATTCTAGGTTGCCGGAAAATTACTCTCCTAGCTGGTAGATTAACTCCGGCTGCCAAGGTTGATGTGGCAGTTAAGACGCGTAAAAGACCTTTCCGGTAACAAGTTTCAACAATCTCTCGTTCCTCAACCTATTAGAATTTAGAATGGTAAAAAATGGGTTAGGCCGTGAAGGTAGGTAAAATAAACCCAGCATTCCATTGAGATCAAATATGAACTGCTACTCCCAAAATATAAGTCTAGTAACAATGTTAGTGGAAACCATAACACCAAAAGAATGGAATTACCGTAAGGCCAGCATGGTGAAATGCAACACCAGCTGGAAAAGTTTCTTCCAATACAGGGTCCAACCCAGCAGGGCACTTTCTCAAGGAGTTAACAGCAGAAGTAATATCAGCAAACTCGCAATTATTATCATTAATATCAACAGTGAAGCTTTTAAGGAACTTTGCAACATGTCTTGCAGTTGATTCACAACCCTTGCGGCTAGAGCAAAATATTAACACCGACTGTCCCTCTTGAACAATCTGAAAGAATATCAATTATTCAAAATTGTTCATCTTGAAGAATTGCAAATTGTAGTTGTGGCCAAGACTTTAAATTGCCTACCTCGTTACATAGTTCAACAACATGATCTGGATCCTTGCCACCAAGGTCAGCTCCTTTTGGAATTGTTCTAGAAAGTTCCATATTCTTGTTATAAATGGAATTACCAACTTTAATATATTCTTCTAAAGGAACTGGCCGGAACTCTGTCTGGTATAGTGCTGCCTTGATACAATTTGGGACAAACAGATTTATAAGAGCTTGAAGCGGGAAAATTGATCAAGTATTAGTTGCTTTTTACAAAGACATGCCTTGAAATTTTAAAGACTAATGTAGATTAATTTTATTAATTGCTATCCTAAAATTAAGGAAAGAAAAACTGACAAAATAATGAGAAATATGAAAAACAGTTGCACAAATAAAGAGGAAATAAATCTATCTATCTGTTAAGAAATGTGGTTGGCCCTAACTCAACCCTACAAAACCGGTTGGTAGAGTGAGGATTGTCCCCACTTATAAACACATGTTCATGCCATATATTGTCCGATGTGTGACTCTTAACACACCCCCTCATGCCCAGAACTGGACATCTGGAGCGTGGAAATAAATGGTGAGTGGCCCGATAACGGAAACCTAATAGAAGGTGGTCCACCGGATCTTAAACAAGGTTCTGATACAATGTTAAGAAATATGGTTGGGCCTAACTCAACCCTACAAAATCGGTTGGTAGAGTGAGGATTGTCCCCACTTATAAACACATATTCATGTCATATATTGTCCGATGTGGGACTCTTAACACTATCTATACAAATAAAAGGCAATGGCAGAAAGTCATCCTATGAAACAACATGGGATGATCATCAAAAAAGGAATCATTTTTACAAATACAGCATTGTCAAATATACCAACAATAAATAGTCATCCATTATAAATATTAATTGCTAAGATATAATTCATGGGAGAACTTCATACTTCATAGGAAACCAATGCATCATTGGATCAAAACAATACGCCGGACTCATAAAAGAAGGTCTATGTTATCCAATTGTCGAGATACACATATATGACATCTCATTGTCATTGAGTAGCCTCTGCTGCATAATTGGTTTTCTTATGTTCCTCTGTGAAAATTTTTCCCATATACAACAAATCATTAGGCAGTTCTGATCAGCTGATTGCTAATCATTATCCAATTGGTCAAAATACAACATCTACATATGCAAATACATTGTGTCATATAGTACTGGTCTACATTTGAAGAATGCTTTTCCTAGTTATTTTGGGAACCAAAAGAACAATATGATAATATAATCCATACTCATCTAGTTATTAAGTCAAAAGAAAACACCAAGCAAACTCTAAAAATGCCATCATCTTCAATTTCATGATAATAGCCTTGGTGTTCGGAACATTGAATCATATTTAAATTACTCTGTGAATAATATTGTTAACTGTGAGTTAATTGAGTCGATTAAGTTTCAAATCTGGCATAAAAAGACCAAGTATTCTCGTATGAATTTAGAATAGTGAGGCCATGATAACAGGGTCTATGCTAGAAGTGGTGACGATTTCAGGGTATATTGGTCTCCTGTGTCTTCTCCTTACTTTGTTTCATCCATAAACCCAAATAAATCACTTAGAATGTGTTTGGATGAGATAATTGAAAATTTTTATGAAATTCAAAATTCTAAGCAATTTAAATGATTCGATTGAAATCCATTCATTTTTAAATTGTTTTGTTTGGATGGAGTATTAAGATGATTCATTGTTAAATTTTTTGGGTCATTTTCATAAATTTTAAAACTTTTGGGTCAAATTTAAAATATGAAAAATAGGGACTAGGTTACAAATTTAGAAAATTTGAAGGGACTAATTTGTAAAATTTGAAAATTTTAAGGGACTTATTTGCAATTTTTTGGAAATTTCACGGATGAATTTGAAGTTTCATAAAATATGAGGATCAAATTGTAAATTGGAAAATTAATAATAAATAATTTAACATTTGCATTATATAAAGTGAAGAAGTAATTTCAAATTCTTCACTTTTTGGTGTCATTTGAAATTCCTTAAATTTAACTTGAATAAAATACTCCATATATTTACATCATTTTAACAATTCGCTATATTTTTTATCCAAACAATGGATTTTAGCCAAGTCATTTTAAACTCCCTCAAAAAAATTACTTTCCCTCGTTAAAATGCTTCATCCAAACATCCTCTTAATGTCACTCAAATTTGTTTTCTTCTAAAACATATTAACCATGAGATTGATAGCTCAATCAGGACTGAATAGTCCAATATTCCTCTATTTCTAGTTAGTGTTTATTAATCATTACATTCAAAGTTATTTTTCTTTTGGATGAAAAGTAAAATTAAGAGTGTTAAACATGTATGCACTATGCTGTTAGCATAGCAAACACCAGGTGGATTTAGGTTTTATAAGGCTAAATATCAAGTTTTAGTAGAAGTTATTCGGATCCAATTTCAACAAATTGAAGCAAGTATAACACCTAGGTGGGATAAGGCTTACTTGTTGAAGCAATTATAACACCTAAAATCACACCCAAAAAAAAATGACAGCTGGCCAATAGTAAGAGAATGCGAAAGCCCAATGATTTATGTATATGTCTATGATATGGAATAAGTAGTACTCATAATTATTCTTACTTGAAGCCAGTCAGCAACTGCTGCAACGTTTGGCATTGTCGCACTCATTCCAACAATCTGCAGACCTTGAGCAGGATCATTCTTGTCACTGCTTCCACCTGAACTATCTCCATCACTTGATTTTGAAATGCCCTCCCCTGCTGCATAGCGAAGCTTTGTCAACATAAGTTCTAGAAGATAACCTCTGCGTGGATCACCAACCTGTTAATAGATGTAGAGAGGAATAAGCCATGGGAACCTTCTAGTGTGCCTTTTCTATTTATCTTTCATTTTTCATAATAATCAAATACAAAAATGCTGAAAGAAACATCGTATAATAGAACCCATGACAAATAACTATAAAAGTAAGGACTCGTGATACCATATGCAGTTCATCTATCACAATGATTCCCATTTCTGATAGACGGCCCTCTTCCAATAATCTATTGACTAGTGAGTTTGCCTTCTCTATTGTGCATACGGCTACAGAAGTATCTTTAGGAAGTGTTCCGCCACCTTGGTTCCCATAATAACTACGAACATGCTTACCAAGTGGCTCGAGAAGCTTTTCAAGATGTTCTGCCTGCATGAATCAAAAACACTATAATAGTTAAATAAATTGAAATTTTCGTATATTTTAACCTAGATACCATAAACAGCTCCCCACAACCAAAAATGAATTTTGACAGAATAAAGGATAAAGGATAACACCTTTTCTGCACAAATTGATACATATGGAAGAACAAGTATTGCCATTTTTTCAGTTGTTATCACCCTCCGCAGCATTAAAATCTCAGCAACAAAACTCTTTCCAGCACTGCAGCAAATGAAAAGCATTTCATCCATGAGTTCCTCAAATAAAAAGACAGAAAGATAGCAAGAGAGTGACAGATAGAAAGAACAGAAAGTAAAATAAAATGACAAGGGTAGAAAATATGGGAGAGAAAAGTATCAAGTGTAAAACACTAAGGATGGCATACAGGAAAACTTCGGCAATAAAAGAGACAAGAATATAAAAGTGTCTGCAGTTTCAAGAAAAAGCATCCATTTATTGACCCGTATAGTAGTAGTGGTCAGTAGCAAAGTTGAGACTTTAGGTGAACTCCTTTTTGTCGGAAATGAAACTTATAATGCACAGATCCAACTTTAAATAGAGGCAGCCCTACTTCCCCTTCTTATCCCCAAGTTCATGTTCCACTCATCTAATTCTTTAAACAATATATCAATGAAAATGACAGAACTATGACTTAAGATTTGCAGTAATTGCCGGTTAAACGATAAAATACCTGGTAGAAGCACAATACACAAGATTTCTTTTTTGTAGGACACCATTCACCCGAAGGCAGTCAACCTAAAAAGTGGAAAATATATAATAAAAAACACGAACTAAAATCAAATAGAGGCCTAACTCAGCCTCAAAGCCAAAACTTCAGAAAAACAAAAGGTAAATTAGTTGGAAAAAAATAGGAACCAGGACTAACAAAACTAAGTAAATCAGTCATATAGAAAGAGAATAATGTACAGTAAATCAATATAATGACGTAAAAAGCATATTTCAATAAAATGTATTTGAACCTGCCAATTGTAAAGCTTTGAAATGCCTTTCTTTCGATATATGTTGCATATTTCAGGTGGAAGCCAGCTATGTAGGTCTAAATGATCATCAAGTGACACATGACTTGAAGGAGTTTTGGCTTCAACGGATGCATGTATATTGATTGTTGTTCTGGCCTCGTTGTTGGGTGAATTGAAACTATTAGATGTCATATTGATATTATCCTTTCCCACTCTTTTGCCTAACGCATCTACTAATATCTTCTCCTGCACTTTATACGTCTGTTCGTATGCATGACTTGCTACAGAAATAGATTCATACTGCTTTCCAGACCAGCAAGTGACATTGACCAGATTATTGACATGACAACTTTGAAGGGTATTCTCATCCATATTATTGTCCTCATGCGTGAAATCAAAATGCCTTACAGGAAGGCTGGATGCTTCTTTAATAGAATCTTTTGTGTGCATCTCCGCTAACCCTTTGTTTTTACTTTGATCCAATATCTTCCTTGCTTTACCATCATAATTTTGTAAATTACATGAGTTCATCTCAACTTGATCCCCCATCACATTACTTTCTTCTATAACCTTAGAAGAATCATTACCCGTGGGAACAGCCAAACCATCCGCAAGTTGAATTGCTTCGTCCCAAAAAGCCTCTCCAGGCGAAAACATTGAGCTTCCACGTGTTGACTTTGGAGTCCCCTTAATGCATGCTTTAACAATCAAAGATCCGGGTGTTTGGCATTCAGCAATTTTCATAGACGTAGGAGTATTACTACATTTTCTAAAACCTGTGTCAAAGGCATTAGTATCACCACCATCAGAAGCCTGCCACGTAAAAGGCAAATCATTTAACACATCAATATATATATTTGAAGTACAAATTTGGCTACAAAATCTAAACTAGTAATGAAACTGGTTTCAACCTTTGCAGAGCAGCCTGGAACACTTTTCATGGTATTATAGACTTTGTTGCTCAAAATGTTTTCACGGCCAAAATGTGGCTCACTGGTGCCATCACACTTCAGGGGTATAGTACCATTCTCTTCTACTAATGTCAGAGAATCATGTCTCTTGTTCTCTTTCACTCTAACCTCCAATGGTGAACTAATGCTCGGGTGCAGTTCACTGAATATCATTTTCATATACTTTTAAAGTTCAACAACAGCAATAATAATAATTACTAATAATAACGATAATAATAAAATATTAAGGAAATAAACTATCAACAGCGATCCAGATTGCGCATCTCAACCGGAAACAAATGGCCTTACAAAAACTACTACTCACAAATATATACAAGGCAGGCAAAGCTACACCAGGGATCCTTTAACTAAATTTAAAGTTTCAAATGGATATTTTATCTTGATTGTCAAGTTATGAACTATATTTAAACAGAGTAAAGTACCCGCAATAGAGAGAAAAAAGTTCTGCTTTAAACTGTCTGAGCTCTGACTTTTCACCAACATGCCTAAAATCACTTAACTTGTTTTCCTGGACAGGATCATCAACCACAATCACTTCCTTTTCAAACCCGGTACGAGTAGCATTGGGGCGTTGAACCCCTTGAGCTAATGAAACAGGCTGATTATCAAGAGAATAACTACCCATATCCGTCGCCAATTTTCTCCTAACCAAATCCGGCCTCACAGGCTCGTCGATCGGGTCCCCCTGAGACGGAATCAAGTAACTTTCCAATGATCCTTTAGCACTTGGAGACCCATCAGCCACAAGCCTTGCACCTTTCTCAATTCTCCCAGCCTTAGAAATAGGTGAAATCACTTTCCTCTTCTTCGTAGCATAAAACTGTTCAACAATCAACAAACAACAAATCCAGCAATGCAAGTCAAAAAAATTCAAATTTCGAAATTCAAAATTTAAATATGAATTATAACCGTAAAACCAGAAATTAAACAGCGACATTCAATAATTCAATTACTAGCTCGTAATGTGAAACGGTGACGTCTAGGGTTTGGGAAAGTAGAAACGGAAATAGAGAAGGACCTGATTGAGGCGATTCCGAGGGGAAGAGGAAGACATGGTGGGAGAGATTGGTGTGCGTGCGGAAGCGGAAGGAAGTGTGGGTGGTTGCTCGTCGTGGTGGACTAATTAGGGTGAGAAGCCATGAACGTTGAAGAATATTTTGAATATTTTCGCGTGAAGCACATCGCAAATTTGAAAAATAGAAGGAAGCGGTTTACACTGACAGTGACGCTGGCGGAAGAGGGTGAAATTGAAATTTTTGGGAATGAGGGCAATATTATAATATTATTTTAGTGTTACTTTTGAAAATGAGATTAATTAGAGGATGTATAGGTAAAAAAAAATATTACATCCATAAAAATTTATATCGGTGCATATTAATTACATTTTCTTGAAAATAAACTTAAAGATGTAAATAATAAAGATGGAGAAAATAGAAGTATAGTGTAAGAAAAAAATAAAGATAAATACATTTTTACTCTTATAAATATTGTTTATTTCACGTTTAGTTTTTAAAAAATAATTTTTAAAGAATCGCCATTTTATATTTACCATTCATATTTTTTGTTTCTAACCTTAAATATATCTAACGGAATGTGACATGACAAGATATGTGAATTTTTTTTCTATGTTGGCGGTTTTACTGCTTGCTAAGGTGGATTTAATTGGATGAACTGTTTATTTATTTTTATTGGAATGCTTAATAAAAAGTCATATTCCCCACCTGTGTTTGCTTTAACTCTTTTAATAATTATTTATTCTTCAAACTTCTTTTAGTAGAAAACACAGAACTCAACTTTGTGGCTTCATTTCAATGTTGTCTTCGAAGACAAACTCAACTAATGTACCATTCATGTTATCTTCATATGTAGAAACTCGAGTTGGACATTTGTGTGGTTGTCGAGGTTGTATGATTTCGTATCAATGCAAGTATGGGCCCAACAAATGAAGGCTTTTTTGGAGATGTTCGTTTTAGAGGGGTGATGACACGCGTGATTTGTTCATATGAGATGAAAATATAGGAGAAAAAGATGGAAACGAAGATGAGAGCAATATGAGTAAGTTGGAAGTTATGGCTTATTTGATGGAGTTGTATGAAGATTCGAAGAATAAGAACAAGAATTTGAAGAACAAACTTAATTCAGAGAATTTTTTTGGAAAAATGAAAACATTATGTATTGTAATCTCTTTTATGTTTAATGTGTACTTTGTGTTGAAATGTAAATGTTGAAGAAGTTTGTTAATGATTTAGAGACATTGTTGTATTGTTGAAAATATTTAACTTTATTTATCGACAATGTTTGATAATGAAATGTTGATTTTGGCTATAGTATTGTTATGATTTGCACAAATTTAGCATAGTAAAACTTAAATGTTAGATTGAAATTGATTAATGTTGGACTAAAATTATGGCATAACAACAGTTTAATTTTAGACATGTTTTAACCTTAACTTGGCTCAATAATTCAAAACATTTTATGATATTACAAAACATATATACAATCACTCAATAGCATAATTTTTGTAAGAAATGAATATAACATTGATGGTTTAATTTTATTCTTAAAATAGTAAAATTCTAATAGTACACGAAATACCTATAGTGTCAAATTAAATACAACCCAAAATATCATGAACAATTGAATGCTTATAGTACACAAAATATCATCAACAATTGAATGCTTATAGTACACAAAATGCCTAATGATAATACATGATATTTAGAGTACAGACAAATGTCAGTAAATCCCAAAAATAAATAGATAACTCATGAAAGAACTTCATATCCTTCTAAATTATTGAGACATGTCCTTTTGAATTTCATTCCAACTCTTTATTCTCTTAGTACTACCATCAAATGGTTCTTTTTCTTTAAGAATCACAAGTGGATTTTCTACCTTCTTTTTAGGTCCCACAATGTTTTGTGTCTTCATTACCATAAGTTTATCACTCTTTCTTTTTTGAAGTGGAACATAATTGAACTTTTCCTCTTTGATGCCATGCTTTTGACCTATAATGATAGCATAATTTTAGCGTAACGGAAAAATGAATTAAACTAATTATAACATAATAACTACCATAACATAACTTACAGGGTCAAGTATATTTGGCTTGTAAGTAGATTCCTTGACAACTTTTGGTTGCTTCAATGCAGTAGACTTAGATATTTTTGGTCTTACACCAATGAATGTTCTGACACCATTTGATGTTGTTTTGATAGGAGTAGTTTGTTTGGCAAGAGTGGGTAGTTTGGCAGGACTAATATCAATACGAAGTGGTTGAATGTCTAGTATCACACTCTCTCTAAAGTCTTCATCATTCAACAATAAAGCTAAGGTTTTAGAGTCTATCTTAAAAAAACTTTCTCAAGCTAATATTATGTTCAACTTATGCCTGAGTTTCAAGATTAGTTACATGAGCAAGTCACTGGAGTTCTCCCAGAATCCCCAGAAATAAAAAACAACGACATGATTCCAGACAAAACTTCATGGTGATTCCAAATCCAAAATTTATTTTACAAAATAAGCTCAATATCATGGTGAATCAAAGAGAATAAAATTTGGACACGCAAACTTGAATTCAATAAAACAGCACAACAATCACTCAGTTATGTTCAGCAATGTTATAGCAACTCAAAAACACTAAACACAGGTTCAGAATGCACATGAACTAAAAGAAAAGAGTTGAGGAAGTTACTGAGTGGAGAAAGGTCCACTTTTTCTTGTATTCCTTGCAGGAACTTAAGGAAAACTTCACTAACAGCTTCAGAAAACCTCGAGGATGGTGATTCTAGCCAGCAAATGTCAAAAACTCCCTTGAGAAATGAGCTTCGAAGATAGTGAAAAATGAAAGAGTGGGAGCTTAGGGTTCTGATTCTGAGCAGAAATGGAAGGTGGCTGATTTCTAGGGTTTTGTTTTAGCTTATATATGAAGTGCTTTGTGGTTAAAACTAAAAATTACTGAGGTAAAAACAGTTGGTTGGTGATTTGCAAAAAAATATGAAATGAAGGGTAGTTGATTAATAGTGGCACGAGTTGATCCTCATGTGAGGTAGAGTTGGTTGTTCTTGTGAGTGGAATCAGAGGAAGGAAATCAAAATTGGTGAGTGGAGCATCCTTGTTGAGCAAATTTTGCTCTTTTCTTCTTTTTGGCAAAAATGTGTAAAATGGTACAACTGGTACAGATAAGTGGTTTAGTTGTTTATGGTAATGTTTTAGCAAGGTTTTGGACACAAACTTAATGATTCATGTGCATGAAATTGGTAAGATTAATTTTCTGCATGAAAATGTGACATGGTATGCTTGGATCCTAAGTTTCAATTCACCAACTTTAGGCAACTACAACTTAATGAATGTTGGCTCAAATGATACATTCTTAAGCTCAATGGAAAGTAAGGGAATAGTAGAGAAACTTTAATTTTGATGGAATGTTAAAATGAGATTCGGATCAATGAGAAAACTTGCTTGGAAGTTGGGTGCACAAAACTGTCCCAAGTAACTTAGAAATTGTTTCTAAGTTATTGGACTTTGGCAACTTTGGAACCTTGACTTTGAAGCCACATATATTGTTGAGTTTTAATTCAATGGATAGAAATATTGAATAATGATATTCAATTTTCATGTTGTGGGAAAATTCATTTGAGGTCAAGAACTTAGTGAAAAATGCCTTAGAAGTTTGGTTCAAAAATCTGCCTAGACACTTGCCAATCTTGACATCTTTGAAACCCTATCCTGGGAGCACCATAACTTGAGTTCTACACGTCCAATGTAGATGATCTATTACTTAAAAGAAATCTTAGAGGATGTTCTACAACTCCCATGTTGTAAGAAAATTCATTTGGAGCTTGTATCACCATGAATGTTGGGCTTGAAAGTTGGTACCTCAAACTGATTTTCTATAAGTGTTGAAATGTCATAATCTCCATTTTCCAACTTTAGCTCATCATATCTCCTAAACCACGAATCTTTTGGACATGCTTCCTTCCATAAACTCGTAGTTCATGATGTTCTCTTTAATTTAATAGCAAGTTTGCCTTCATTGGATCAAAAATGAGAAAGTTATGGAAGTTGCAAGATGGCTAGAATTAGGGTTTTCTACACTTAGAAAAATTTCCATCAAAACCCTAATTTAGTCAAACTCTTGATTTTATGTTTCTCTTTGATTATTTTTGTTCCAAACACATGAACTCACTTTAAAACATCTATCATGCCCTTGATTGACCTTGAGATCCAAGATCTTGACCTAATTGAATCACAATTGACTTTTGTTGACCAGATGAAACCCTATAACCATTTCCACTGACTGAGGCTCTTGTGATGGCTTGTGATGACACATAATACATGTAGAGGACCATCAAGGTGTGTGTTGAGCTTTAGAGTCATGTCTTTCCCAAAGAAACTAGCCACAAATCTTCTTCTGAACCAAAACCCTAGATAGCTATCCATGAGATAGGAGGAGGAGAATCAATGCTAGTGTTCTTGATTCTGGTGGTTGAGTGATATGCCTTGAGGATGATGGAGACCTTGTGACTTGAGATTTCCACAAAGTTGAGCTTGAGCTCTTGTTTGAGCTTTGAATATGAAGCTCTTCTATTGACTGTTGGATAAGATGCCTTGATCCCCTATCTAAGATCAAAGCTAAGTGCAAATGGCAACGATATGGAGGTTAAAGGTTAGGGTGAAAAAGAGGGTGTGACAACTCTAATATAACATTCTTGAATTGCTTCAGAGAGGAAAACTTCATTCTAACCTTTAATGTGAATTCCTTTTTTTTTGCTTATTCTATATTAAACCTAATCGCTACAAGTTTTTCCTCACAACTATCTTCGCCTACCCCACTATCAAGTTCGTTAGTCATCTAATGTTATTCTATGACATATTTCTTTTTCATCTCTTATGTGGCAAAACTAAGGTTGGATGGTTCACTGGTGGCAACACCATCAACACCCCCTCCTATGATCACCTTCATCCAACCCAAAACTAAACCCTTCATTAAAATCATGCATTTTCTTTCCTTCATTGTCTTCAAAGTGTATACCATAGATAATTTCATCAATT